ACCTCATAAAATTCTTGGTCGACTTGAGGTGTGTTTATTTGCTTTTAGGGATATATGTGGCTCTGAGGATCGGGTTGGTGGTGATAAATTGAAATAGTTTTTAAAATTTGTTCAAGAGAATGGGACAACAAAGGGTCTAATTTGGCAGGTCAATGAAAGCTGTAGGATTCCTTTGATAGATCATCATGGTTTCAGTGTGGAACACGTTCATGTGTTCATCAAGGTGCTTGTGGAGGAAATTGAATCAAACATTTTGGAACGCTTTCCCGAGGGAGATGTGCTTAGTGCCTTCAAAATTTTTGATCCTATATTTTATAGAAGCTTAAAGCAGTCAGAGCTTGATAAATTTGGTGTCTCAGGTTATAAAATTCTGTTGAGCCATTTTTGCAACATGACAAAGAGAGAGCAGTTGTTCCCAATTGACCCGTCCGTATTGTCTCATGTCAACAAAGAATTTTTGAAGATGAAGCACCTATTGTGGTTAGCAGCCAAGAATTTGCATGCAGAATTTCTTCTCTTCTAGAGTAACATTCATGATGAGCATGGGTTGGGGCTAGGCTACATGCTTAAATTTGTGTATCTTTGTCTAGTCATCCACTCAATAGTGCCATTGCCGAACGAGGTTTTTCTTTGCACAATAGTATTAAGACCAAGCTTAGAAGTAGGCTGCGTATCAACACAATTGATGCATTCATTCGGACCAAGACTTTGGCAAAGTCTTTGGAGAATTTTGATTATTTACAACTAGAGCAGCTGTATCATCATAAGCCTCAGAACTTCAAGTTGCCATCATTATTCCAAGCTGTGAATGCCCTTGATTATGATGGGAACACAAATGATGGTGACAGCGTAGATCTTAATCAAGACGCTGAGGACGATAATCTAGATGAGCATGCTTTCTATGATGCTGATTCAATAGAAGATGATGAAGAACCCGTGCAGGCAATTGTAGTTGAGTAACCTAGTGGTGTTGAGCTGGGGGAAGAGTTCCTTGAGTTGTTGGGAAGGGTCACAAGTTGAAAATAAAGTTTCAAATTTTCAAATCCATGTTTCATTTGTCCACATATATCCCTGTTAATATTCAAAAAGATCTAGCATGATTATTGAAGCAAATGTATAAAATAATTTTGAAGACCCCCGGAATTTTATTTTGGACAAATCCAGATGACTTCGAGGAAGAAAAAATATTCAAGTCAAAAAATCGAGGCGTAGCTCCGACGTTTTATGTTGTATTCCTGGGGTGACCCGGTGGTTTTTAGCCATGCTTGTCAAAACCTGATCATAGCACAATATGCATTACGTTTGTGCAAGGCGATAGCTTATTCATCTTGCTGATTCATGAATTTTATGCCTTTAAGTACTATTAGAAATAAAATATCTCAAAATTGGCCAAAATTGGGTTCAAAATCTTTGCAATAGATTTGTTGAAGTTTGTGTTGACGTAGAAGAATCTAGTGAACTATGATTTATGAAAAGATTAGGAGGCAGATATTGTTTTGAAAGGTGGTGGAGTAGCTTGCCACACTTATGGTCAATAACATCAAGGTGATAATCTTGATATCATCTTGTTGTTGATTGAAGCTTTTGAACATGTTAGATCATCTCGATTTGATTAATAAAATTCTTGACGTGGTTAGTAGTCACATGGATGTTTTTTGCACAATTATGCTTCTATGTCACAAAATACATTTAGATTGTTCATTTCAAAATTCTTTACAAGTTGTTCGTCATTAGACTATTACATTAAGACGTTGTTTGAGATTTACGTCGGCATAAGCATTAGACTCGTTGTATTTTACTTTTTTATCTTGATGTAAAATTTGTTTAACTCGTGAATAAAATTGAAAGATTTTCCCATAGATAACAATATATTACTAAAAAGATGTGTTGAGATTATATCAAAATCATTGATGATAATAGATTTCACACAAGAAAAATATGTGAAATACAACAAAGTAATTTAATCTATAGCAAAGTATGCTATAAATTGATAGATATGTGCAATTGCTGCAATATTTAATTTTTTATGGATGTGATTAATGCATTTTTTCTGTGAAAATCAAGAGTATAAAATCTACATTAGACAATAAATTGATTTTGAGAAGAAGAATGATTAAAAAAATGATTTATAGATTACTGAAATCATTATTACTAAAGTAAGTCACTAAACAATGAAACATACAATTTGATGAATTCATGAAAGCACAAATATTTTGATAAAGTTTGTATGATCCATGTATATATATAAAAAAATGAACATTAAGATTTTCAATTTTATTCTTTTAGTATTCTACATGCATGACATATTATTCTTTGAAAAATATCAATTTGAAGTCAACAAATGCAAAAATCAACTAAAATTTGCATATAGAGTGAAGAATTTGGATAAGTCCAATAAAATATCAAGAATAGATTTTCATAAAAATTTGATGAAAAAGAATTTATTGTAGAGTCAAGGAAAAAACGTCCAATGAGTGCTTTAAAAGTTTAACAAGACAAATAAAAAAAAATGGATTCTTTTGACAGTACATTTCAAAATTTTTGTAGCTTAATGTTAAATCAATGTCATTAAAAAGTAAAAGATGTCATAAGATCTTTATGAAAAAGTTGTGTACAGTTTCAAATATTTGATGGTGTGCATAATACTTGTTATTGCTTTATCTTCAGACAAGATGAGTAGATAGAAGCAGCTGAGGAAGTTATTTGGTTGAATAGACTTATGACAGAGATGAGATTGAAAGATGAGTTTATCAATCTGTGATAGTCAAAGTTTGTTACATGTTGTTGCAAATCAAGTGATAAAAAGCAAGGTAAAACATATCAACATAAGATACCACTTTATCATAGATGTATTGTGTGATTAAAAAATCAAGCTAGTCAAAATCCACGGTAAATGAATGCAAGTTGATGAGCTAACCACATTTATTCTTTTGGAGAATTTTAGATTGTATTGTACTATTATGAAAGTTTTACTTGAGAAGCACAATATGACACACTATCTATGCTAACTCTTTATATATCTACCCTATCTTGTTTTAGCAATAACTTACTTGTAATTAACTCTAGTGTAAAAAGTAATTTACGTTAAGTTTATTTTTGAAATTTCTTACGGAGTAATTATATAGGTTATGAAGGTTACTGTTCTCACAACATGATTTTAGATAGAAATTGTTAGTAATACCTCAAGACTCATTATGAATTCAAATTAATCAAATTCAAATCAGAATTAAGGTTAGGCTTATCTTAGTTAGAATTAGATTTAGGGTTTTTGCTACTCTATATATATATATATATGATGAGACATAACTCGCCTTAAACACTTTGTAGACTTTGGTCTTTGTATTTAGTGCACAATTTGTATATTGTTTGGTGAATATTTTGCTATTTATTTGTTGGGTAAGTAGTTCAAGAACAAAAAATTACTTATTTTTGTTGTATGCACAATTTTCAGCATTATCAATTTATTTTGAGTAACTTCTACTTTAATTCTAACTAGATAAAAATGATTACATAAAAACATAATATGTTGTGTTAAAATATATCATTATGACAAAAATAATATTTCAATTATTTAAGACTTATGATTATATATAAATCTAGTCTTCTAAGTTCTTACTATAGTGTATTCACGGAACTATGAAATCAATGTTTTTATTTGTACATCCTGACAAAAAACATATTATTTTACTCAATAATTTTTTTTTGATTATGTATATTTTCTATCATCTTAATGACTTGAATGCACAATTTTGTACTTGAAATTTTTTTACAGATTTTTAAAAATCATAATTTTTTTTGTAAATAGAAATTTTAAAATATGTATTTAATTCAATATCCAGATTTTTATTCGTATCATCCATCATGTGATTATATTAGCTATGTATTTTGGAATCTACATGAATAATTTTGCAATTGTTAAGGTCTTACTATCACAAAACTTAAACATGTTCACTTATTCATTTTGTAGACTCTCGTGATAGATTTGATATTTTGTTTTCGCCATAAGATAAGGATAATATGTCACAAGTCACAAGTATTCAAAAATTCAAAAATTTAAATGTATTCATGATCATACAAGAAAAAAAATATTAGCTAAAAAAGGAAGACAAAATGAAATATGAAGTTTCCAAAGTCACACACAAAGGATCTATCTTTCGTGAAGAAAACTTGACTAAAGTTTGAAAAAAGAAGTCTAAATGATTAACAAGATGTATTATCTATACTACAACGAACATTATATGAATAATATATACCATAATCAGTTGATACCAAAATTAATCAATTACAGTTTTAGATATTCATTTATTAAGCCAAGACCAAGAGGAATAAATGGTTGAGAAATCGACCTAAGTGGATAATATTTTCATTCTAAACGCTGAGATATATAGTAACGTTTGAAGAAAGAGATTTTACTCCATTTGGAAAATAAATTGAACCAATTTTGTAAAGTGGATATTATATGATAGTCGACTATGGTGTAATGGTATAAACGAATAAAGTATCGGTTCTCATTGGAAGGAAATACAAAAGATTACGACTGACAAATTGAACACTATTATATGCATAAGTGACATTTTTGTCAGATCAAAAAACACTCCGAATGCTTTATGTCGATACATTCACAAAGCTCGAGCATTTTTGTTGGCCTACCGTGGGAAGTGTATTCACTCACAACTTCTAAACCCCCACAGAGTTATGCACGAACTTTGCACTATGAAATGATATAAAAGCAGGATCAGAACTCGGAACAAGTTTCGTTAGGCACGACTGTCCAGACGGGTGGCATGATTAAAAGGGGGAGACCGACAATCTAATCAAATATTGCAACCAAATACTTTCAATAATATATGTGACTTTCAAATTTTATAATATCCAAAATACTTTCCCCGCAAAACTGGTTCGGCCTGGATATACCGGAGGTTCAACGTGATTGATCCCTCCCGCATCCCTTCTAAAACATTATAAATCGATGATCTAATGAACGCTATGGGTAGCGGATGTCAAAGACAGCGATGAAAGTCGTGAGAAAGTCCCCTTTAATGATAACACTCCATTAAAAGAATCATGCCTTCAGAAGTGAAGATAGAGTATCCGGGTTAAGGAGCAGATTAAGTGACAGCCCTCCACATTCTTAGGGTTGAAGTGAGTAAGAAGAAAAGCCAGCGACAGAACGAGGAAGAAAGAGAGAGAGAGAGAGAGAGAGAGAGAGGTGGAGACAAATTCGAGCTCGATCGTCGAGATTGCTGGCGAGGTTGTGAGCGGCCTCTTCCGACGAAGAAGAGCAGGGAAGAGAAGCAGGGCCGCAGAAGCAAGCGAGAAAATAATTCTGCAGGACATAGCAACGTTGCAACCGATGATCGTACAGAGTATAGGGTCGCCCTCAGGTGTTCAAGGCCCGAGTTTGCGCGGATAGTCGGTCAGTCTTCTGGAACGGGAGATTGGATTGAGTTGAATTCGATTCGGTCTGCAAATCGCGATAACCATGGTGCTCGAGGTTAGTGTCCGGAATTCGTGCGTTGAAGTTGTTGATCAAGGTCCGGCGTTTGATTGGTTTTTTGGAGGTGGAGGAATTGGTGAGAAGAGGCCGTAGTTCTATTGTAATTCTTGGTGTACGGTCGATCGGTGCCACGATGAATGTCCGAGTCTTAAAAAATCCGCGAATATTGCTATGTCGAGTCGTGAGTTTTGCGGTTCGTCTTTGTCGTCCTTTTCAAGGGCTCGTAGTTGTTATGTTCTGTATGACTGTGAGTCACAGCTTACAGGTTGTATTACACTGTTCTATTTCACCGATATGATTTCGACCTTCAGGGCATTTGTCCAGTGCCTTCTTCAATCTAGGTTTTTAAATGAAGCGATGATGTGCACCCGAACTTCGCTCCGTAGGCACTTGCTTTTTGTTTCGAGACTCTTGGGTATACTTCACCTTGGGCAGAACCTGGAGCCCGAAATTGCCGTTTGAAAAAACTTGCGATCGGAAATGTTTATACTGACATTGTCTCAGTACAATTTTCTAAAGTCTAGTCAGATAGAGCCCGAGCAGCGCTCATCAAGTTCTTTGAGGACGAAAAGATGAGCTCAGGATGCTTTAGTCACAAACCCGTTCGGTGACTGGTTTTTGAAATTTATGTAGAGTCTGATTTTTTTTTTCTTTTCATTATTAGTATCCGAGAAGCAGATGTTTCTTATTCTTCCTGCATTTGTTGTTTTTGTCGATTTGTAAGCATTCTTGGCCTGAATTATTCGATCTCTTGCTCATATTTAACAACGGGGGATCAACTCAATGCCGTATTTGCCCTTAGGGCTATTGCTGTTTTGTATCGGAGAAGTCTGTCAGTTGTTTATGTTCATTCTTATAGTTGGTGTTGTCGCAATTATTATGATCCTCGTTTTGGACAAACGAAGACTCTGTGGCATTAAATGTGTCCTTGCATGCTTTAGTTAAGCTTAGAAAAAGAGGAATCTACCAGTTATTCTTGAGGCCATTGTTAATAACTTTTAGAGTCCTGACCTTGAGCTTAAGAGTGTACTAGCACCTTTTGATTTCAATTGGTGCTAGTAAACGCAGAGAGTCGTTGTGGAAGAGAATTCTTTCCTCAGGTCTTACGCGTTGTACAACATCTTTTCTACCTGCTGGCGCCGAGGATCCCATTTCAGACCATTATCTTTTTGATTCGTCGGCCAGAAAACAATCACCGAAAATATTTTTGATTTCAATTGGTGCTAGTAAACGCAGAGAGTCGTTGTGGAAGAGAATTCTTTCCTCAGGTCTTACGCGTTGTACAACATCTTTTCTACCTGCTGGCGCCGAGGATCCCATTTCAGACCATTATCTTTTTGATTCGTCGGCCAGAAAACAATCACCGAAAATATTTTCTTTGGTATAAATAATATTAGGATTTTCACGACTGAAATTACGCAATGGAATATTTCATTCAATTTGGACACCAAGAATTTGTAATGAGGTCGAACTGTTATACACCGAGAAGCAGTTAACAAATATAGATTACACGAAGAAAGTCTACTGTAATTGTTAACCTCCTCGCTTTAGAGTAATCCTTCCCCTTCCGCCTGCCTCTTCCATCCCATCAGTCACGGCATAGGGTCTCTGGTCGCGAGGCTATGAAAGGGAAATAGCATTGAGTAACCATCTATGCAACAAGCACCGGGATTTTCCTAGGCCTGAGCTTCCCGTGGCCCTTCCCTTCTTTAGGAACTATGCTTTGATCTGTGATGTCCATTTTGAGATCAGGTTTATACGGTCAATTATATCGAGTTTTTGTAACTAAGTTCTGTGTGATGTGACCATGATTGCTTCCCACCGAAAGTTAGTTTGACTTGATTGTGTTCTACGGCAGGCGACTATGATTTGCATTGATAACTCGGAATGGATGCGTAATGGGGACTATGCCCCTACACGCTTTCAAGCTCAGGCCGATGCGGTGAACTTGATATGTGGCGCCAAAACTCAGGTCGGCAGTTTTTTTTTAAATTAACATTTCGAATTGCCGGTGAAGCAGCATTCTCGTTTGTCTTCGGTCATGTACAGAGATTGTTTACATTTCTTTTCGTTATTTCTTCTAGTTGCGATTAATGATCTCTGTGATGTATGTCTTTATGCAGTCGAATCCGGAGAATACAGTTGGTGTTTTAACCCTTGCCGGCAAGGGCGTTCGAGTTCTCGTGACACCAACGTCTGACCTCGGGAAAATACTGTCATGCATGCACGGTGCGTCTCTTGAATTATAAATAATCACGTTTATCTTGCTACGATCATCAATTTCATTATTCCTGCCTGTTAGGGATTGATCAGTTGATACTTACTTCTTGCTACTGTATTTCCAATGAACTGACTGGTGTTGTCTAGTTCAGTGTTGGTGTTGCATCTTGATTCTTTTTGTTCTTCTTTTGTCCACTTAGTGCTGATTTAAGCAGAGGATTTGCTCGTAGTCTTAAGAGAATTTGCTCTCCTCTGTTATACAATTGTTCTCTACATGACGATTGACTTAGTAAGTCGTTTCTACTTGTGGAAGACGGTATAAGCGATTTGAAGCTTTCGTCTAGGCTCTGACAGGATCTCACTTAATATTACAACACGTTTGAGGTTTTTGGCATTGACCAATATCTCTGGCAAACTGTGCTTCCTCCTTTACATAATTCACTCTTTAGGAAATTCCAAGGATGGTACATTTGTGGGGTGTTCGAAATATTGAGGCTTCTACCAATGATTTCAGTCTGTTGGGGATTACTCTGCCGTTTATCATCTAATATGCCATCTTATATGTCATTAGGTCTTGCAAGAAAAGGTAATTAGGGATTACCTTTCTTGCGAGATCCTGTTTGAGATTTGTTTTCGCTATTCTCGACCAACACATTCAGTTAACAACGCGTAGAACTAATCCAACCAACGAACAAATCTACAATTTTCCTTGCTCTAGCTAGCCTTAACGCTTGACATACTACACTTTGTAGAGAAATTGACGCTGATCTTGTAATAGGATCTTTCAATGTATCAAGATACATTGATTTACATTGGCCTTACTTATTATTTTGGGTGGTTCTGTGAGATGTTACTTCATTGTTTGAGGGTCACTTTTTCTGTACTTCAGAGTGAAGAGAATATCGGGATCTGTACCGGAGGCTCTGTGTGGGTGTAAAGTTAATAAAGACACGTGATCTTTTTGCTAGCGTATATGGATGCATTTCTAAGACCTATTCAATGTCAGGCGGAGTCTTTGTATCTTAGGAGTTAAACCACTTTTCATCTGTGGAAACACACAGCCGACTTTACTCGCTTAACTTGTGTTGATCACCTTATTCAAAATTTCAATGTACAAGACGGAGTGACAAAACCGAGACTTTGTTTTTCTTCGCTTCTGTCGAGTTGACACCTTCCTACCCTTGTGATTGCCGTCGTTTTTATATATTCAGGTTTGGACATTGGTGGAGAGATGAATTTGACATCGGGTGTTCAAGTGGCTCAGCTTGCCTTGAAACATCGTCAGAACAAGCATCAACGTCAAAGAATCGTTCTATTTGCTGGCAGGTTGGCCGTAAACGATCTTCACAATTAATATTTTTGCTGATACCGTTTTTGAGATTTCGTATGTAATACTTTTATCATTTGTCCAGATTGAGTTTATGGCATGTGTGATCGGCCTGGACTGAAGTACAGTTTTGAATGTGTATCAGCCCTGTCGCTTCTGATAAGAAGACACTAGAGACTATCGGCAAGAAATTGAGAAAAACCAATATTGCACTAGACATTGTCAGCTTTGGCGAGGAGGATGACAATAAATCGGAAAAGCTGGACGCTTTGCTCAGTGCAGTGATAAGCAATGAGAACAGTCACATTGTTCACGTTCCACCTGGTCAAGCTATCCTCTCTGATGTCCTTATCAGGTTCGTTCACATCACATCGCTCTAAGTTTTATCAGTCTGATAAGCCCGTATACATGTCTTCGTAATTTAGGGCACATGAAGTGCCTGGCCTTTTCTATTGCATTTTGAATTCGGCTTTTTTGACTTGTTTCCTACTGGGAAGACGTCAGTCCTTTCGAGACTTTGAACCAATTTTCAGACACGCGAAGTTCAGTTCAGCATATTGTGGAAGTTTGACACTTCGCTGCATTTTTATTGCTATTTCTTGTGCAGTTCATCAATCTTCACTGGTGATGGGGAGGGAGGAAGCGGTTTTGCTGCAGCAGCAGCTGCAGGAGCAGCGGCGGCGGCCGCTGCAGCCGCAGGAGGAGCCGGAGGATTCGAGTTTGGAGTTGACCCAAATTTGGACCCAGAGTTAGCTCTTGCTCTCCGTGTCTCTATGGAAGAGGAGCGAGCTAGACAGGAAGCTGCAGCAAAAAGAGCAGCAGATGAGGCCTCAAAGAATCAAACAGAAGGCGGGGAGTCCTCTGGTCAAGGTGGTGATGTTGCGATGATGGATGCTTCTCCGGTAGTTCCTGTGGCAGCTGCTGACAAAGGCCCTGATTTTATGGTATGTTCCTTTCAACCTTCCAATATGTGTTTCGAAGCGAAAGGTGGTTATTTGTTGAGTTTCAAAAGCATTTCTTATCCATACAGTAGCTTAAAAGCTAAATGTTCTTCTATATTTCCCAGTTCGCAGATAAGTAAAGCTCAGTTTTAGTTTGTATTCCTGTTAATACTGCTGGCGTCTCTTCTTGTACTGTACAGGACGAAGAGAGTGCTCTACTAGAGCAAGCATTGAAAATGTCAATGGCGGAAAGTGCTGCCGCTGCGGCTGCTCAAGGTGCCGGAGACGTGACAATGGGAGATGGGATGTCTGAGGATCTCGCATTGGGTAAGCCGTCCTGCAAGGTCAAGCTCTGGAATGGAAGGCGTGGGCTATCATTCCCAAGTCTGACTGTTGTGGAATACTAAGTCTTGTCCATGTCAAGCTCGAGTTCTCGTCTTTAGATTGTAAGCGTGATCAATACGTAATAGAACCTGTGAAAGAATCTATGTTGGATGTGCGCAGCTCTACAGATGTCCATGCAAGAAGCAGCCGCTGCAGCCGCAGCCGGAGGTACAACGACTCCTGCCAGCTCAGATATGAGCAGAGTTCTTGGAGACCAGAGCTTTGTATCATCTGTTTTGGCTTCGGTACGAACTTATGAGCTCTTAGAAGTACCCTGTCTTTGAGATTGAGTTTGAGGAATATCTGAGGAGCTTATGTGTTTTCTCTGCCACACCACCAAGCTTCTTTAGCCAAGTTCAACAGAGATTACCAATATTCCCTCCTCGTATGCTTCAGAGGTACTTGACTTTTGAAGCATATGAGGATCGTTCACACGACCAGGATTTGTCATTCCCCATCAGAGTGTTTTTATGATAATCCGTAAGCTGTTTGTTTTAGAAGATACTTTGTTTTCGGCGTTGATCGATTAGCGTCTTTGAAAGTAATTTTATTATATTGCTCAGACTGTCCTGTATTAACATGAAACTAGTTTTTCAATTGCAGCTGCCTGGAGTAGATCCGAACGACCCGTCTGTACGAGATGTACTCGCTTCGTTTCAACAAGAAGAGGTAAGATAGCTGTTTACAACCGCAAGAGAGCAAATTTTTTCTTGCCCAAGTAGAAGAACGGTGTTTCATAGAGAGTCCATCCCGCCATCTTGTTTTATTGCCTTGTAATCTTAGTTATCGCAATTTGAAACCTGTCCATTTACGAACAATGGCGGCGTTGTGTGAAGTCTGTTGGAGAAACATTGTCACAGACCTGTACTCACATGCGATGTATGCAGGAACAACGGAAAAATGATGCAAAGGGCAAAGACACTGAGAAACAAGGTTAAACGCAGCATGGCTAAAAGTACTTCGAAAAGTGATAGAAAAGTCTCCGAAAGAGGGATACTTTCAACTAGCTGATAAAATTGCCAGATCAATGAGAAGCTAGATGAACATGGCTCACTTTTGTGTATACATCCAGATGTATAAGTGTTGCTGTGTGAGCCTTGCGCGTGGTCACAGCTTGTGTGCACCCCCGGGCTTGATGTGCATCTATTGTAGGAGCAGCGTTGATAGAACGTAGCTTGTGGACCTTGCCAAACCACTTTTGAAAAAGATTCGGTGGCTGAACAACGCAATAGTTTAAAGCCTCCTAGTCCCGATGTCTAGACTTATCAAGCCGAAAGCTCAGAAACTAAATATTGTTCTCAATAGTTGGAGGATCCAAGTGCATTTGACAGCCGTTCTGAGCTCCACAAAAGGCATATGGTTTCACTAACAGACATTGGTTTCCGCTTACGAGGTCCGCCTAGGTAGTGCCACGAGCTGCGCAGATTGAGATTCAGTGGCGCATTTGAATCATTAGTTTCTTGTACTCTCTTCGTAAAATTCTGCTCGAGTTGTAAACAATAACTCTAGCAGTAAGATATGCGTTTGATGTCTTGTATCGGCTAAACTGGCTATGTAAACCAAGGCAAAGCCGAGCCACACATCTGGACTCTTGAACTAGAAAACATGGACACAACTAAGGCGTACTTTTCAAGCGCACACTTCACATTTAAGCGAAACGAACACTAGACCAATTCGTATCAAGATCACGACATTTCGATTCAAGTACTATACTGGATGATTAAAGAGCAGTTCTCACAATCGTCTCTGAAGGCCGCGCCAGGGTCATAAAGTTAAGTTACTCTGATAACATGTCCACTGCAGATGAAGGGATCAGATACAGTAGCTTTTGAGTAGAGTTTCAAAATCGGCTAATGCCTTCTGAATTTTAACCCGCTCACTATTTGTACTAATGTCCAAAGTGTAAGTCAGTTGTTTCTCACGGGACACCGAAAATTACTGATCTAATACGCAAGTGTTGTCACCACTGTGCAGCTTGGTGCATTCTATCCAATTAGAATTTAAAATTAGGAAGGATACTTGCGAACTGTTTGAAACTATTCTCCCCGGTATAAGTGAATTGGTAAGGTAGGGTCAAATCCCAGAAGTAGAAACTTTTTTTTACTGCTACTAATATATCCAAAATTTCTGCTCTCTTTATTTTCCAAACAATGGTAGCATCATATGAAAATAATACATAATATGATCCTTCTTCTTAAGATACCTCTTGTTAATGGGTTAGTGATAAATAGATAAGACAATATAGATATCCAAGTTAATGACATGCATGGTAGATTCTATAGACATGGGGATCAATAATTACACGATTGTAAATTCAACCCGTTGTAGACCTGTATATATCTGGAGTACACAACATTCATGTCAAGTGTATGCTGCATTGTATTAATTGATGAACACAAAATCTCCAGAAATAATGCAACCTACTCCAATTCAATACACATGAATACTTGATGCATGTGAGAGATCAACATTCATCTATAATAAAAAACATTTCCATCCTAACAATACCTCTAGATTTGGATGTACACTTAGATCCAAAACGTTTAACATCTCTATCACTTCAAAAATATAATCGAATTCGAATCACATTCAATGCCGTACTGGATAAGAGTATTGGATATATCAAAACATCATCTGCTGCAGGAATTAATCAGTAAACAAACTAGTTACAAACTCGTTGTAAGTGATTTTCAGTCTATTAAAATGAAAGAAAACACTTGATAATAACATGAAAATATAATCAGTGAACTCTTAAAAAAGAGACTTACTCTTATGAGTGATTTCTTTAAAAGATTTTGTAGATCTATCACAAGTTAATTGAATGCACCAATATAATTTTGGATTTCTGTGCCAAAATCTTTCATCTTCAAATTCATGAGCTTTAAGGAGGCATATAACATGTTTGATAGCTCTTTGAGTTTAAAAACGTCGTTCAAACAATAGAATACACTCGTCATACTCATCTACTTGTTTCAAAATTGAAGGTTGCAAATGAAGTGTATATTTTACTCTCTGCCTAATACTAGATTATTTTTTTAGTTGTTCTCGTTGTATGTGGGTGTTTTTGACCTCAACATCTTGCCTAAATTCAAGTATTTTTCTAGAGCACATAATCATCATGTCCATCATATTTGATTATGTTGTACCTTGCTACTCCAGACTGAATGGCCGCCATCTTATTACGAAGAACAGTTGAAATTGTGGCCAATACCGTTTGAATGAAAGATTTTTCTATTTTTCTCTCATTTGTTCACCTCATGTCTTGGACACACATGGAATATTCTAAAAATAAAATATTTTGTTAAGATGAAATTTTTAATCAAGCAAAATATTCCAACAGTGAACAATTCGTTGAACAACAATCAACAGTTTTTGGTATAATAGTACTTCATACTCCTTTCGATGATTATGTCGCCGCAAAGCTTCTTACGCAAAAAACAACAACAAACGACAACAATTGTCGTCACGCAAGATAAATCCGAAACTTGTCTTGTTCTCTAGATTGGAAGCAGGTGAATAGGGATAAATTTGAAAAGCTTTTAAGCTTTTCCGTCTAGAGTAGGAGAGGACGGAGAAAAGCTATGACATTTTTTGTAGCAAAGAAAATGAATGTACTAAAATTTAAACTTGCAAGATGCGATCTCTTATTTCCTTTTCATGAACACAAGTTTTTGTGGAAGGTTTTCACACATTTCATACTTGACAAGCACCAAAGATTTAGCTCTGGCATGTGTGAAATCATTTACATAAACTTTATAGTGAATATTTGATGATGGGTCTATGTGTTGAATCTTTGCTTCTCCAAAGTGGTGTCACAACGTAGCGCAGGGTATTATACTTACTCGTCCCTTGAAGATAATACAAGAAAAAAGATAATATTCAAGAAGAATATTATATGCTTCATTAAATACAATTACCATCCTACTCAACCTGACGTTTTTTAGCTTGTTCCATAACTTCTCTCATTTTTGCTTTCAAGTATGTAGATATCTAGGTTTATTATTCTAGGTTTTTATTTGGAAAATGCTCCCTCTAAGCCTCAACGGATTGAAAGTACTCTCGTCACCAGCTTAAGCAGCTTCAAATTTTTGCAACAGTCGCATCAAAGTCCAAGGAATCCACATACAAAATAGATAGAAAAAAAAAAAAACTAGAGTATGTACAAATTCAATCTCAAATGCTATAGTTATTTGAAACTTGGCAAGGCAAGCACATGATGACAACAATATTGTAGTGAAAACCTAGCTTTGATACCAATTTTTGATCACGCGAGAGACACATAGTGAAAATGAGACAAGAAATCAAAACATTTAATAAAAAAATTGGCCACGCAACGAGTATACTCATCGTGTTACATAGATTGTTGAAAACCAACATCCAACGTTTGCAAACCCTAATTCTAAAAAAACCACCCAATGACGAGTTAATACGAAGAGTGATAGTCAAAATATGATGAAGTAAAAACATATAAAAATAACAAAATTCTTGAAAAACGTTTATAAGCTTTTCATGCAAAATCTACAAAGTAACAAGTTTTTTCTATAATTATTCAAAGTAATAGCTTTGATCATCGCATGAACTATATTGAGTTTATTGTCAATATTGATTAGTTTAATTTTTTTTATCAAAAACTACATATCTAGTAAAATAAAATCTGATTTCAATTTGTTTTGCTCTATTGTTCATCACTTGATTTGCAATTAAATGTAATGCATTTTGACTATCGCAATCATGATTAAAATTCTTTTGTTTTAATGTCATCATTATGATAAATCTACTTTATTAAATAGCTTTCTTTATTGCTTTTGCTACAACTATATATTTAGTTTTTGTTATTACTCAGCTACGCATTTGAAAGTAGATTTTCAATCAATTCATTCATCATCAAGTGTAAACAAAACCAAATGTATATTCTATCTTGTTTAGATTGTGTTCATATTTAGCAATGATATAGTTAAACAACTATTTGAAATTTTTTTAAAATCAATTTTTAGATGATTGAGCAATCCATTTTATTTTTTTCCAAAATATTTTTTTGGTATTTGACATGTATATGCTTTACCTTGTTCATAATTAGAGCAAGATGATGTAATACTAGGGTTTAGAGATTAACTCACTCAAAAATGATTATATAAATTCTAAAGATGAAAGATGACAACAATGGTTTTCCTCTACTTTATATAGCTATTATCAACAATTACAAGGAGATAAGATCTCATCCTCATCATCCATTTCACTCATAGTGGATGTATGACGTGACAGATAACTCTAACAAGTACACGGATTGTTGACGTGGCGTTTTCAACTAACAAACTTAATCTCTACCTACAATAACACTAGGGTTTGGAAAGAAGTTCACTCAAAGATGAAAATATAAACTCTGAAGATGAAAGATACAAAGAATGATTATACTCTTCTTTATATAGCTCTTACCAACAAATACAAGGAGACAAGATCTTATCCCCACCATCCATCCCACTACTAGTGGATGGATAACGTGGCGTATAATCTTAACAAGCACACAAATCGTTGACGTGGCAGCTATGATCAGTGCGTGTTAAAGTAACTTAATAAACATTTTGAGTATCATCTACTTTAGTTCTAACTAACTAAATATTGTTACAAACTTTCCTCCTTTTAAGACACAACGTCCTCGTTGCACATCCGTTCAAATTCTTGAACTATCAAAAGTGCATTAGCTAGAATTCTAGCTTGTTGTTAAGTTGATTCGTATGATGAATGTACTTTTCATTAAACCAAATACTTAACATTGGGATACTTATGACATCTAATTTGGTTCTTGAGTATATTTTCTATCTCAAATTCATCTTCATCAACTATCAAGATTGTTAAAGTAGATAACACTAGTTGGTTGTGATACATGTTTTTGCAATTGTGACACATTAAATACATGGTGTATTTTCATATGTGACGGAAACTTTAACTTGTATGACACTTTACCAACACGTTCAATATCACAAAAGTACCAATGAATCTAGGGTTAAACTTTGATGTTTCCAACAAGAGATAAATTTGTTGTAGATAACCAAACTAGATCTCCAACCAAAACAACTAACTTTTGACAATGAGCATCAACATGTTGTTTTTGTCGATTTTGAACAATCAACAACTTCTCTTTTGCTTGATGTAGTTCTCGGTGGATATGTTTCACAAACTCGTTGACCGCGGCTACCTTAGTTGAAAACTTCATCAAACTTGATGGAGTAATGGAATGAGCATTGTACATGAGGTAAAATGAAGACATCTTTGTGGATGCATTTACAAAATTGTTGTATGCAAATTTTACAAGAAGCAGAAGATTATCCCACTCTTCTTGCTACTCTAATGTGAATGCTCGAAACATATCCTCTATGATCCTATTAGATCTTTCTATTTGATCATCAGTTTGAGTATGATAAGCTGTCGACATTGCTTATTTGATTTTTAAAAGATCAAACAAAGTTTTTCAGATCAAACAAGTGAAATGAGTAGCTCTATCAGTGATTAAAACTTTGCTTAATCCATAATTCCAAAAAAAACATTCAAGTACAATTGAACCTATTGGCGACGACCCGGGTCGTCGCAAAAAAGTCAAAGTGGAATTGACTTATTTAATTATTTGAAAATTTTTTTGTTAGAAACTTGACTGAAGTAGTCTTGTC